GGACAACCTAGACTTTAAACACAACACACCAATTCCTTTATAGATTTAGGAGTGGTTTAAAATTCAAGAACAAGAGAATAAATTCCTAAACAACTAGACGAAAAGCTCCAGATGTTGTTGTTGTCCTAGGAATGATTCTGCCTTTGCTTTGTATTAGCCTTTGCAAGAATTCTTGAAAAGTGTTTATCAAGTTGCAAAAACTAGAGAGAAGTGTTTAGGAAAGTGCCTTTTATATGGGCAAGTCACTTTCCTAAACTTCTTTGCCATTGGCTGGAAGGGTCACACTTTCTGACGCCATCGGGAAGTGTGCACCTACTTTCTGCACCATCTCCAGCTGGCAGTTGACTGACATGTCATCATGAGAGCCTGGTACCTCTATTAGGTCCCTGAGTTTTGTTTTATCTGCAATACTTCGAACAATACACCTGCAATACTCAAGTAGAAAACCCGGTACCTTTATGAGGTCCCTATGTTTATCAAATCATCAAAACTACAAATAACAACTTAACAATCGGAGTACGACTGCGAGAACTCCGACAACTAGAACAAAGGCAAGCGAGAACAAGGAACTGGCAAGAGGACTAAGCGAAACATAAATTCTCAGCCTCTGTGATTTTGAGACTTATTTCCTAAGTATTTGTATGCACTGTATAGCTAACAATTTTTACCGTATTTTCATCCTTAATGAAAATTCACTTCAGAAATAAAATGAAGGTGTCAAAACCATTAATTTCTCAGAAAGATAGAATAAAACTCTTACGTATTCAATTTTCTAAACAACATGATTTTACCTATTAATAGCAAGAAGTTATTACCCAGGGTAGCGGTAACAACAGATTCTCTATTCTATTTGTGCCTTAATACTTAAAATAGACTTGTCTCCTACAAATGAAAGACATAAGGTTAAAGGAGAGTGAAGTTCATTGTTTATTTCCACTACGTGCGGCAACGAACATTTAATTCCTTTATTTGGTATACTGGAAGGTAGATAAATAAGACATAGTGCTCTCCTATCCCCCTAACTAAACAAGAGAAATAACTCTTTCACCTCTCATCTTCCAACCCTTTCTCCTTTGAACTCAATCGACATTCTACTGACGTACATTTTATGTCATTCATCTTGACTAAGCTTTGATCTATTGTGAGTGTAATATGACTAATGTAGTGAAGAATTGGTGTGTAAGCATAAAAGTGTAATCTTTTATAGCTTTTGTCTTTGTCTTCTTTTTATTTATTAGTAACATCAATTTAATTTATTTATCAAAGATTTCTAAAGAAGGAACTTTCTTTTCTACAATCTTGACTTCTCTAATTTCAAAATTCCTGGAAAATATGAGGCATTTAATGTCATATGGGAATAGACTTTAATGAAGAAGTGATTATTCAAGTTACTAACCTAAATAAAAAAAATTAGGAGTGTGAAATTTCCGTATGAGCTAGTAGACAAGGTATGTTTCCTGTGTTTCATCTCAAATCTATACTAAGTGAGATTATTCTTTGATATACTGATGATATATAATGTCTTTTGTCCTAGTAAGATTTAAAATAAAACGTGGGTGGATGGATTCTTTTACCAACTACGCAACCACAAGTTATTTTCTTCACTAGTATTGGTACTTATGCGTAACAAACACATTATTCCTAAATTAAAGCATAATATTTACACTATATGGATACAAATTGAGTTTCTAAGAAAATCAACTTTGTCATCAATATGATCAACTAGTGTTGTTAATTATGCTTAACAAATACATTATTCCTAAATTAAATCTTAATCAAAACACTAGATGGACATAAATCAATCTTGCAAGAAAATCAATTATATCATCAATAGGATCAACTAGTTTTGATATTTTTGCTTAACAAACACATTATTCCTAAATTAATTTCAAATATCAACACTATATGGACACTAGTTGATCTTCTGAGAAAGGGTTTTTTGTCATCAATAGGATCAACTAGTGTTGGTACTTATGCTTAACAAATATATTATTTCTAAATTTAAAGATAAGTGTAAACACTAGATAGACACAAAAATATCTTGCAATAAAATTAATTTTCTCATCAATAGGATAACTAAAGTTGATAGTTATGCTTAACAAACACATTATTCCTAAATTAAAGCTAGGTGCCAACACTAGATGTGCACAAATCCATCTTGCAAGAAAATTAATTTTGTCATCAATAGGATCAACTAGTGTTGATACTTATACATAACAAATATATTATTTACAAATTTAAAGATAAGTGTCAACACTAGATGGAAACAAATCGATCTTGCAAGAAAATCAATTTGACATGATCAACTAGTATTGGTACTTATCCTTAAGAAACACATTATTCGTAAATTGAAGCTTAATATCAATGTTAGATGGAAACAAATTAATCTTGCAATAAAATCAATTTTGTCATTGATAGGATCAACTAATGTTGCTACTTATGCAAAACAAACACTCAATGGACATAAATAAGTTATCACTAAATTAAAGCTAAGTATCAATACAAGATGGACACAAACACTTATAGAAAAAAGTTCTACTTGTACTTTAGAAATGTTGAATCATAAAAAATTATCTAGTAATTTGATGAAAAAAGCAATATAATCTTGTATCAACATTTTTAGATGTTGATCTTCCTCGGTTGTCTAGCACGAAAAGAAACAGTGTTTGTCATCCTCAGGTCAATGCACAAGTTTGCTGTAGAAATTTCAAGGAAATCTACATCACACAACAATAATATTTTCCCCTCATATTTTTCTCTATCAAGATATGTACACTAACAACTTTCTTTTCTTTTAAAAAAAATTGGGAGTAGGGGAAGGGGAAATAAGTTTGGGAATTGAATCTTCACCAAGCGAAAGTTCAGATAGTAAACCAACTGAACTATTAAGAAACTAAAATAACTTATGTTCCTATCTAATGTATCCATATATTTCCCAAGTCTAACTATAAATTTCAAGACAAGGAATGAGAATTTCAACCTAATGTTGATAAAACTATTATTTTCTAGACATGTTTAAGCCCATGAGATCAATTGGTACAAATAACTGATGGACTTTATGAATCCCAATGCTTGTTCCTAAACTCTATTTATCATACCTCTTGTTTAAAGAAATAACACATTATCATCAATGGGTTCAATGTAATCCCAAAGTAAGAGAGAAATGATTTCAACAGGAAAGGACAATTAATGTTGAAATTTATCAAACACAAATGTGAATCAGGAAAGGCCGAAGAACTTTTGGTTTTCTTCAAATAATGTATGATGAATAACAACGATTCTTACCATATATCTTTAATGGAAGTTTTATAAACTAAAGGAAATTGAAATTACTTATGTTCATTACATTTTAAAGCTATAGGTTTCATTGATCTAAGTGGGTTCCTTTTACATAAAACCTTAAAAACATTTGGAATTTCTCCGAATGATATGACTGCAAAAGAAATCACACAATCAGAGTCTTTAATCACAATTTTCAAATATGGATGGATATATCTTACTGCTAAATTTACCTTTTTCGATCCGCTCAAATAATATCGGGAATGTTCACTTGAAACGGAGTAAGAATTAGTAGGAAAATAGAAAAATCAGTACCTGGAACAAAATTAATATGGAATACGAAACTAATTTTCCATATTTTTCGAACTAAAAACAGTGGGAAAATAGAGTAAACCTCACCGAAAATGGAGCTCGGAGTTTGCTTCAGTTCTGCCACCCACGTGTTACTGTTACTGCGACCTCCTGCTGCTGCGGATCAAGGGAGTGTGGTGATAGGGGATGGTGGCGCAACCTGCTGCTGGTGGTCGAGGCTGCAACGCCGGTCAAGGGTGGGCCGGAGATGGGTGTGCGTTGGAGGGGAGTCAGAGATGTTTAGGAATGGGTGGGCATGAGAGAACAGCATAGATGTTTAGGAGTGAAGCAGATGACTTAGGACTTAGGGTTTTAATATTATCATCCTTTTTTAAAAAAAGAAGTGTCAATTTACTGATCAAGAGATGTTCGTATTTCTTAAAATAATTATGTATTTTGAATCAATATCGATATTGTGAAGTCAATATTATTTAATAATATAATAATTATGAAATTAAAATTATATATAAGTAATTTATCGACATGTTAACAAAAGTCTTCTTTTATAAATTCAATTTTATAGGTTGATTCAATTTTATAAATTTAAATTATATACTGATAATTGTATGAAATTAAATTATATACCTTCTAATTGTATAAATTTAATTTTAAATTTAAATTGTATACCTCCTTATTGTGTAAATTTTATTTTATCCATCAACACAAGTTTATCAATATCAAATTTATTATTAAATCTCCTTGAATAGATCATTGATATTTCTTTAATTGATAATGTATATCATATTTGAACCACTAATATATCATCAACGTATTTAATAGTCCAATTAATATCCTTTACACATGTCATTGCCGACAATATGATCACTATATAATAATCTTGATAGAACTTGCTTTGTACAATAATTTATGTTGTTCTACTATCTATTTGATAAAACGATTTACTACATTTAAGGTTATACATTCGACCAATTATACAAATAATAATAAATATAAAACTTAATTAATTGTTATCATTACATTTTCTACTCGTATTATATCGCATTTCATACTCGAATTGATTATATGTTAGCTCTTCACCTTTACATCGTGACTTGAGATATTAAGTTCATGATTTGACGACGGACTGGTAGAATTAGTACATTAATCTACAAAACATAAATATAATTATATTTATTTTTTAACTTGTATAAAACTGTCATTTGGAGGACGATGTACTTAAAGTTAATTGAAATATTAATTTAATAATTTTTTTGGAAGTCACTATCAAAATATTTCAATGAAAATCAATAATTACATATTATTAAATTTTACTGGCTTGCAGAAGTCGGTATTATAATTTTATGTTTTTTATTTTACAGAGAACTTTCCTATGGAAGACGATTTAAATAAAATTAAATCAAAATATTTCTCTATTTTTTTAAATTTAATTTAGAAAATAAAATATTTTTATTTATTTATTTATTTAATACCGACATCAAGAGATTGGTTTTTATTGTTATTCATTTTTTCGGGAAAAATACCGACCTCCTGATGTGAATTTGGTCTTCTCGATTTATTTTGCAAAAAACCCAACTAGTTATAGTCGATTTTCATATCAATGTAGTTTTATACTCTAAATATGGATTATTGATCTAACTTTTCATTTATAAAAGTATACAAAATTGTTACATTTTTTAAAAACAATTAATGGTAGGTGAAAAATAAAAATTTAGTATTATTCTAGCAAAATTGTGATTAATAGGAACATTTAAAACAAATCAACCTCCGAATGTCGCTTTTATTAAAAGTAATTAGATGAAATAAAAATAACTACCTCATGAGGTCGGTATTTTATATTAAATTATTTTTTAACATATATAAAACCATCATCTGGAGGACAATTTATTTAAAGTTAATTAAAAACAAGAGTTTATTAATTTTGTAAAAGTCACTACATAAATATTTTAATGAAAATTAATTTAATTACATACTATTTGATTTTACAGACTCTCAGAAGTGCGTATTATAATTATTTTATTTTTTATTTTACACAAAATCGTCCTAGCAGAGTCGATTTAAATAAAATTAAATCAAAATATTTATTAATTTTGTTTTTTATATTTATATGATAAAAATAAAATATTATTTATTTATTTAATACCGACATCAACAGGTCGATTTTTATTGTAATTCATTTTTTCGAGAAAAAATCCGACCTCCAGAGATCAAAATTTTGTTTTTCCACTTTATTTTTCATAAAATCGACTACAATAGTCGATTTTCTAGATTTTTTTAATATTATTGTTTTTAACAATACCGACCTCTGGAGGTCAGAAATTACATCTCATTTGAGGTCGATAATTTTTTGGTCGTGATTCAATGTTTTTTCAGTACTGTAATGCGGCTAACCAAACGACCCCTTAATTCAGTGTTTAGTTGCAAAGATAGGGATAATTTATCCCTGGATTAACAATTAGTCCATGGATAAGTTATCCCTCACTAGGGGAGGTATAGTAATCCAAGGATATGTTATCCTAGGATTAGATGGGTAAATGAATAAAATTACCCCTTGAGCTCTCTTTTATACACCACTTTTACTTTCAAACAAATTAACATAATTATTAACAACATTTATAATAACATTCACAACTCTAGTTATTCATTGTTTTTATGATAAAGATATTTTTCTATTAAAAATTTACATTTTACAACTAATATTTTTATTTATGAATATATTATAAGTTGAATTTATTTGCGTATTATTATTTTTATTTATAATTTGTTTTCTCTTAAAATGTTCACTCCACTACTAAATTACATATTTTTCATTATATAGTTTATTATTTACTGAAAATTACATTTTATCTATAACTAAAATGTAGATAACTTTTATAACAAATTTTCTTTTACTTTAATAAACTTAACTTAATTTTTAAGCTAAATAAGATGAAAGTTTTATTTTTAAGAGAAATAAGATGAAAACCTTATTTTAAGCTTAATAAGAAGAACATTTTATTTTAAAGTTAAATACGATGATAGTTTAATTTTTAAGTTAAATATGATGAAAGTTTAATTTTTAAAACATACAACATAATCTCGGAAATTCACATATAAAAATATTTAAGATCAGTAAGATGGAAATTTTATTTTTTTAGGAATAAATAACTAATGCTTGCAAAAAAAATGTAAAAAAAAATACATAAGGTGAAGGTACTTTTTTAAACAAACAACTTATTTCAAAAAATTATACAAAGAATATTTATTTGAATTTGACAAACCAAACAAGTAATAAAAACTAATTCCAGGATAACTTATCCCAATATAACTTATCTCAACATAACTAGTATTCAAACCAAACGACCCCTAAAATTGATCATTTCTTTTGTAACAAAATTACTATTGTCTTTATTTATAGGACATAATATTGAATTCGAAATGATACCATAAAATTCACTTTAATATGATTTAGGAGTTATGATTATAAAAAATTATGGGAGCAACGAAAATAAAAACAATTGATTTTTTATATGAAAAAATGTGGATAAATGGGGTGGTAATTATCACATTCTTTTTTACACTAAAAAAATATTTAAAAAATTGTAATAAAAGTGAGAAGAAAAAGACAAATAGGAACCTTGACCAATGAGTCATTTGTGTAGCTTTATATTCCACAAAGGTGAGGTTCCATTGACAAATATATTGATCTTTCGGGATATTTCAACTTCTTTAGAATAACAAGAAAATGTTATTTCTTCTTCCACAATGAATATTGTCATGAAATCAAGTTACATTTTCTCATAAAAATTAAACTTGAGTCATTTTAACAATATCGAGGGTAAAAATTAGACAGTTTTATGATAAAGTAAATTTTGTTCAAATCATATAATCTGGGGGGGGTTTAAATTTTGTCAATCTTTATCCATATAGATTGATAAATAATTTTTAAACAAATAAGTAAAATATTAAAATTAGGTGTAAACATCCAGAATTATTAACTAATAATATGTTTAATTAGTGATGGACCTAGGATTTTTTTTAGGGGGTTAGAAAAATAAAAGTATAAACATGTAAAAGCCTTTAAAAATGGAAACCTTGAATTCTTTTGGATTTAAAGCGAAACTTATTATCTTTTTAAAAGTTAAAAAGGAACTTGAAAAACAGAACCGAAAAATGAAATTAAAAAAAACTGAACAAATAAAAGAAAGATAAAATGCTTACACAAAGATACGAACAATTAACGGACAACCTAATTTCAAGGGACTTACCAATGTGCCATTAGATTCTCTTTGTTATTGAGAGCGTTCAAAATATATATCTATAGAAATAAATAAATTTACCTTATTTATACCATGTAATATTTTGCAAAGGGGGTTCACAAACCCACGAGGGTCCTCCTGGATTTTAACATTAATTTTAATCATATGCCATAGACATCATTGACATTTTTCAACATGTCACATAATATATTCGATATTTGTAGAAAAATTTCACTATTTTAGCAGCATTTTCACTATATATCGATCGAATCAACGATACTTTGCAAAAAAATGTCATAATATATTTGACATTTATATTAAAAGTCGCTATTTTGGAACGGTCTTGTTAAAAGTCTCTAAATTCAATGATATTTGGCAACAAATGTCACTATTTTAGTGACATTTTTTCTGAATGTCACTAAAATCAGTGACATTTTGCAATAAATGTCATAAAATATTCGACATCTATGCCAATTGTCACTGTTGAAGCGATTTATTTTCTAAATGTTACCAAAACCAATTAAGTTTTGTAATAAATGTCATATTATATCCGACATTTGTATCAAATGTCATTATTTATATGAATTTTTCGCAAAATGGCGCTAAAACAATTACATATTGCAACAAAATGTTATTATTATATTTAAAATTTGTAACAAATGTCATCATTTATATGACATTTTTACTAAATGTCGCTAAATTAATGATATTTTGCAATAAATGTCATTATCATAGTGACATTTTGGACCATATTTCATTATTTTTTACGATATTTGATAACTAATGTCATTATTTTTATGATATTTGACATCAAATGTCATTGTTTTATGATATTTTGTTCTTAAATATCGTAAAATTCTTAATTTTGCGACATTTTTTTGAAATGTCACCAAATTATTGTTGTCGTATGTGCATTTTCTTGTAGTGTAGAGTAGAGACCGAGAAAGGTTTTGAGAGAGTTGTAGATTGACATAGAACTTCACTATCATAAAATGAGTTAGAGAGAGTAGGAGAACCTTAATAATCCTAGGAATCCTAAAGAGCATACAAGATATTCTGGCACTGTCCGCCACCTCTAGAAGATGAGTTATCATGTTAAGCCAAGTGACGTAATGGTGTTGCTGATTTATTAGACTAAGCTTTACCATTACTACTTCCATGACCCTGTCT